ATTCAAAAACTTGGGTGTAGCACGTGGAATAATATGTATTACAGAATTCCCCAAGTGTTTGGTAAAGAAGCTTTGAGGGTTGTGCTTGATGATGTGGGTGTGATGGAGCTGTATAGTCATGCTACAAGTGGATCAGGGAAATGAATTCCAGTGTAATGAGGCTCAGACTATTGTTGGTGAAAACAATGGTGAGGGTACAGGGGCATCAGAAGTACATGATGAGGTTGGTGAAAAAACCATTGAGGGTAGAGGTGCCACATCAAAGGTACATGATGAGGTTGGTGAAAACATCACTAATGGTAGGGGGCAACATCAGAGGTACATGATGAGATTGGTGAACAAAAAATTAAGGGCAAAGGCAAAGGGGCATCATCTGAGGTAGTTGATGAAGTTGATGAACTTGAATACTTCATTGATAATTACATTCCAGATAAAGAAGGTGCATGTGAAGAAGATGCCTGTGAAGAAGGTGCAGATGAAGAAGCTGTAGATGAAGAAGCTGCAGATGAAGAAAGTGAAGATGAAGATTACATGCCACAAGGTTAAAGCTCTTCTGATGATGACCTTAGTGATGAAGACATTGTATCTGAAGATGATGAGTACATTGAAGCAAGAAAAAACATAAAAAAGTATAGGAAGACTGCACCTCATGATGATATTTCAGAAAGTGGGCTCAACCAGTTTAAAAGCAGTGGACTTCAAGGAGCACATACTGATGAAGCTGATATGGATAATTTTAGTGATGACCAATGTGCACTTATGACTGATTCAAGCAGCAGTCAAGAGGATGAAATCACAGAGAATAGGCCAAGGAGAAAAAAAATCAGAACAACGTATGATCCTGCCTGTGATCACAAAACACTCGTGTTGCAGGTAGGTATGAGGTTTGAGTCAATTGTTCAGTGTAAAAAGGTAGTAGAAAAGTTACAATTTTGAATGGGAGAAATATTCATAATATAAAGAGCAATAAGAAACTACTAGAAGTCAATTGTGTGGATGGATACCCATGGAGATTGTATGCTAGTGTAATTGCAGGTGATGTTGCCATAAATTCCATTGTTAATGATCATAGATGTCACAGATACATTTACACAAGACAAGCCACTCCAATATTTGCCAACTCAGTGATGATATTCTAAGAAACTTTGTTGTTCACCCGTCAAAGTGGAAGTTGTACAGGGGTAAGTGGAAAGCCCTAGAGATGCTAAGAAGAACATTTGTGGAACATTATGCTTCTGTCAGAAGGTATATACTAGAACTAATGAGAGTGGACAAGGAGGGTAGATTTGAGTTGCTTGTTGGTGAGGACACACAGTTTAAGAGACTTTACATTGGCTTCAGGTCACTCAAGAAAGGGTTCATTGATGGTTGTAGGCCTGTCTTGGGTCTTGATGGTTGTTTACTTAAGACATTCTTGGGGGGAGCTATGTTATGTGCAACAACCAAAGATGGGAACAACCAGATGTACCCAGTTGCTTGGGTTGTAGTTGAGTCAGAGAATGAAGAATGCTGAACATGTTTTCTTAGTATCTTATTTAATGATCTGGGAATTACTGATGGTCTGAGATATACACTTGTGAGTGACCAACAAAAGGTAAATATCAATTAATCTTCAATGTTATCTAATATGGGATATCATACGCTAGACCGGTTCGTCGGGTTAGCCAAATAAAATAGATCAGCGGCCTGAGTTCGACCGAATATCCGCAATGAAGGAAAGAAGGTAGACGACGAAGAAGAGCGAGTTCAGTAGTGTTGGTCGAGGAAAGATGATCAGACGGGCGTGGTCGTAGACTCGACCACCTTATACCTCAGGGACAGCTCAATATTCGCTACAGATTTGGTCGAGCATCAGAATATACAAGAGAATCTCCAGCACGTGAAAGGAGGACACGCGGCGCTCTACAAGTGGTCCGGGGAAAATGCGGACTCTGACATTCTTACACATTCGACGCATTTCTGACACCAAGAGTAGTGGAGGCGCACGACCGTACGGATGAGCAGTGAAGACGACCCACGCGACTCACCTTGAAGGCTCGTGTAAGCAGGTAACTCGTCCCTATAAATAGGGACGATATTTTTCACTCAATATAAATTTTTCATACTCCGATACACTTACACTTATATTCCATCTCTCTCAAGATCTAACTTGAGCGTTGGAGGCTCTTCACTGAAAAACACCTCTAGTGTGAGAGTTGCGTGTAGGTTCGGCGTTCTACCGGCAAGGAAGGCAAGCTCAAAGCAGTTCTTGGTCGGTTGGACGTTAGATCTGTATTATTGGCGCCGTCTGTGGGACTTCTGTTCGAAAAGTTGTGTTCTGAGCTCAGCTATGGCGGACGGAATTTCTCGAGTGAATTTGCAGTCGTTGTTATATGAGGCGTGGACGACGACCAGACCAAGGGAACAGGTCCTCCCCTGGCTTTTCTGCACCATTACAAACACCGGTGACCCAAACATCGATTCCTCAGAATGCGGCGATCCCAGGTGGGGGAGAAGGCACGAACAGAGAGCACGAAGCTCGTGAGGCAGCACCAACAGCGGTTCCCACACTATTGCAAGCAGGCCTGATCATGACGCAGCAGGTTGGACCAGTGGCGTAGACGATGGTGCCACCAGTAGGAAGAGCACTACCACCCCCTGCTCAACAAATGGTGACTATGACTAGGGAGGAGATGCAGCGGACGATGGCCAACGCGGCGGCGCAAGCTGTGTAGCAGGTCACCCACCAGACTTCTCAGGCTACCGCTGCACCGACCACGGTGGTGGGAACTCAAGGGTGGAGGGGCGGATCCCAGGGATCGAGTGATGGAAAGAATGGCCGAACAACTTCGTCAGTTGCAAGAAAAAGTAGAAGGAAAGCCAGACAGGCATGCTCGAGGACATCCGTTCTCGAGGGATATTTTAGCTGCACCTCTACCTGCGAGTTTCAGGGAGATAAATTTGATCTTTGATGGGTCAAGCGATCCGTCGAGACATGTAAGAGCATTTGAAAATATTTTCTTCTTGCACGGATACTCGGATCCGGTCAGCTGCAGGGCATTTCTGTCGACCTTACGAGGAGGTGCGCTCGACTAGTTCCACCAACTGGCTCCTAGATCGATCAAGGACTTTGAAGATTTCGCCGGACAGCTCACCAACCAATACTCGAGTGCGGTGGCACAGGAGAAAACATATCTCACTCTGCGATGCGGCAGGGAGAGAATGAGTCTTTACGAAAGTACGTGGCTCGATATAACCAGATGTGTTTGCAAGTGCCTACGGCAGTCGACGAAGTAAAGGCAGGAGGTTTGATTAGGAGTCTACGACCAGGGCCATATCGGACGTCATTGGCAAAGACTCCTGCTCGAACTAACGATGAAGTGCTGAAAAGGTGCAAGAAGTACATCAATCTGGAGAAGACGGAGGCTGAGTTTGCTAAACTTGAGGAGGCGGTGAAACCTGAGCAGAGGAAGGAAAGGCTGAGTTTGCCAAGGAGGGGATCACCCAGAAGGACTTCCCCAAAGAGAGGCTTATCTAAGAAGTTGTTGCCCAGGAAAGATGGGCAAAATTCGTTCTGCGGAGGGCGAGAAGATCGCTGGCAAGGACGACCCTGGCTGCCCAATGGCCAAAGGTATAACAATTTCACTCCCATAAACGCCCAGGTGGGTGAAGTCTTGGTGGCGATAGAGGAGAAATTAGAAAGCAAGGAGGTCACGTGGCCGACGACGAGATTCGATGGGCCGACCAAACCCCGGTCGAATAGATACTGCAGATTCCACAGGGATTACGGGCATACCACGGAGGGGTGCAGGCATCTGAAAGATGAGATTGAACGTCTCATAAGGGCAGGACACTTGAAAGAATTCGTCATCCGTGATCGATCACGAGGTAAGGAGAAAAGAAGATGCAGGGAGGATTCGGTGACGAGGAGTGATAGGGATGAGGACAGAGAGGACGATGCCAGGAGGGACAAGAGAAAGCGAGGTGATGGTACTCGAGATGAGCCGAGAGTGGAAGTGCCCGCGAAGAGGGGCACAATTTATATGATTTCTGGAGGGCCCACGGATGGGTATTCGAATAATGCACGAAAGGGACATGTGCGAGCCATAAAGCGCAAGAGGGAGGAGGTCGGGATAGCTGGTCGAATGTCGGTGATCAGCTTTCGAGCAGAGGATGCAAAGGGGGTTTTGCTACCCCATAATGACGCGCTAGTCATCACGGCTGAGGTAGCGGGGTTCGACGTGAAAAGGGTGTTCATCGATACTGGGAGCTCGGTCGACGTGATGTTCTATGACTGCTTCAAGCAGGTCAACAAGAATTTGAATCTGGAGTTGAAACCGGTGGCGATGGCCCTGTATGGCTTTAATAGGGTTGAGGTGATGCCAATAGGCGAGGTGAGTCTAACTGTGGCGCTAGGGTCGGGCGACACCCGAAAAGTAAGGATGGTGTGGTTCGTAGTGGTCGGTGCGGAATCGTCCTACAATATTATTTTGGGGCTGACAGGGCTGAACGCGTTCCAGGCAGTCGTGTCTACATACCACATGAAGATAAAATATCCTATGGGTGAAAATATGGGCGAGATTGCTGGGGACCAGCTCACATCGAGGAGCTGTTACCAAACCACAGTCAGTAATAACAAGCTGCTGGCGAGAAAGCAATTGAAAGGTGGGGAAGAAATGCCTGACCGACCAGGAGGGTCAAGGTCATAGGAGGAAAAGGGATGGCAAGACAAAGGGAAGGAGAAGATGGATATACAACCTGGAGGTGATGTCGAAGAAATCCAGATGGTGCAGGGGAGTGATGATCAAAAGTTTAGAATTGGGAAAGAGCTGGGGGAGTCGATCAGGTCGAGGTTGGTCGGCTTGATAAGAGAGTTTGTGGACATTTCGCGTATACGGCGGAGGAGTTAACGGGAATTGAAGCCAGGGTGATCGAGCATAGGCTGAATATTGATCTTAGTGTGAGTGCCAGTAAAGTAGAAAATGAGACATCATGGCGTGGAAATGGACTAAATAATCGAGCAGGAGGTTGAAAAGCTGTTAAACGCCGGACATATCAAAAAGATCCAGTTTTCAGAATGGCTGTCTAATACAGTGATGGTGTCCAAATCAGGGGGAAAGTGGAGGATGTGCATCGACTTCCGCGACCTGAACAGGGCGTCCTCGAAGGATATATACCCATTGCCCCAGATCGACCAACTAGTAGATTCCACGGCTGGATGCGAGCTTCTCATTCTAATGGATGCCTCGCAAGGCTACCACCAAATCCCCTTGGCGAAAGAAGATTGGAAGAGGGTGAGCTTCATAACGAGCAAAGGCAACTATTGCTACGTAGTTATGCCATTTAGGTTGAAGAATACTGGGGAAAGCTACCAAAGGCTGGTCGACCAGATTTTCAGAGACCAATTGGGGAGGAATATGGAGGTGTACGTCGATGACATGTTGGTCAAGAGCAAGGTGGAGGCGGACCATGTGGGAGATTTAAGGGAGACTTTCCAAACGCTGAGAAGGTATGGCATGAAACTCAACCCAGCCAAGTGCTCGTTCGGTGTAGAAGCGGGAAAATTCTTGGGCTATATGGTGACAAAGTGGGGAATAGAGGTGAACCCTGAGAAGGTAAGAGCGCTGATCGAGATGAAGCCACCTGCCAATATGAAGGACCAAATACTGACTGGTCGAATAGCGGGCCTAAGCAGATTCATCTCTAAGGTAGCCGAGAAGAGTGGTCCTCTGTTCAAAACGTTTAAGAAAAGCTCGAAATGTCAGTGGATGGAGGAAGCCCAAAAAGCTTTCGAGGAGTTGCGGGAGATGTTAGCGAATTTGCCTTTGCTAGCTAAGTCTATACAGGGGGAGGAGCTCGTGCTTTACATATCTGTTGGCGAGAGTGCAGTAAGCTCGGTGTTGTTGCACGAGGAGGGAGTAGAACAGTTCCCGATATATTATGTCAGCCGAGTAATGCAGGGAGCGGATTTGAGGTATTCTGAGATCGAGAAATGCGCATTGGCGGTGGTCGTGACGGTTTGAAAATTGAGGCCATATTTGCTAAATCACCGATTCAAGGTGCGAACGAACATGCCCTTGGAGCAAACCTTGGGTTGACCAGCAGTATCATGTCGACTAGTGAAGTGGGCGGTTGAGCTAAGCGAATACTCTATCATGTATGAGCCAAGGAGGGCGATCAAAGCACAAGTTCTGGCTGATTTCATTCAGGAGGGTATGAAGGAAGAGGAGGAAATGGAGGGAGTGTGGCAATTGTTCGCAGATGGCTCAGTATCGAGAGACGGAGCAGGCTTGGGCATAGTACTGGTTTCGCCCTAGGGGGATTACTTGGAGTTTGCTGTTAAAATGGGATTTCGGATATCAAACAATGAGGCGGAGTACGAAGCGGTGATAAAGGGGTTGCAGCTGGCTCTGGCCGGAGGTGCTCAAAAAATTCCAGTCCATTCCGATTCCCAGTTGGTTGTCGTACAATTCCAAGAGGGTTTCGAGATCAAAGAAGACAGGCTGCAACGTTATGTGGACGATATGAAGAGGCTGAAGGAAGAGTTTGGGTCACTCGAGTTAATACAAATACCAAGAGGGGAGAATGGTCGAGCCGATCTATTGTCTAAAATCGCTCAGAATTTGGTAGATTGCAAGAGAAGGAGTGTGACCTTGCTCCATATGGAGAAGAGCGCGGTCGAAGTCGAGGTGGCAGAGATCGAGAAGGTTGAAGACTGGAGAGCCTCAATCTTGAAAGAGCTGCGAGAAGGAACAGTAAAAGTAATGAGGAGGTTTTTCGAGCAAGGGGGGATCCTCTACAAGCGGTCATACACAGGGCCACATTTGAGGTGCGTGACCAAGGAGGAAGGTCGATATGTCCTCAGAGAGGTGCACGAGGGATGTTGCAGCGATCACAGCAAGGCTGGAGCCATGGTTGCAAAAATTTTAAGAGCAGGATATTTTTGGCCGACAATGAAGGCGGATGCTAAAGAGATGACCAAGAGATGCTTGCAATGCCAGAAGCACGGCCCACTTATCCATCAACCCACTGAGACAATGACCACAATGAGCGCCCCAATCCCATTCGCGCAGCGGGGGATCGACTTGGTGGGGCCAATGCCGCAGGCAACGGGGCAGCGGAAGTTCTTGATCATTGTGGTTGATTACTTCACGAAGTGGGTAGAAGTTGATTCGTTAGCCAAGATCACAAAGGAGAAAGTAATCCAATTCCTATACAACAACATTTGTTGTCGATTTGGAGTCCCCAAAGTTTTAATATCTGATAACGGGACCCAATTCAACGGAAAATGGGTTAGAGCATGGTGCGAGGAGATGGGTATCGAACAACATTTTGCATCCGTCACCCACCCGCAAGACAACGGATAAGTGGAGATGACCAATAGGATCATATTAAACGGGTTGAAAACAAGACTTGAGAAAGCCTCGGGGGCGTGGGTCGATGAGTTAACATCCGTACTCTGGGCATACAGGACCACCCCGAGGTCGACTATAGGGGAGACGCCTTTCTGCCTGGTATATAGAATAAAGGCACATCTGCCAGTCGAGCTGGAGTTGCAATCTCAGCGGTCGAGCACTTACAACGAGGAGCAGAATGAGGATCTCATGCTGACCGCCTTAGATACGATCATCGAGGAACTCAGAGAACAAGCCTCGACCAAAGTTGAGGCATACAAACAGTGGATGAGAGCAGCCCATGACAGGAAAGTGAAAATTCACCGATTTCAGGTGGGCGATCTAGTCTGGAAGAGGGTGGACGTGCTCAAGCACGTAGGCAAGCTGGAGCCTAATTGGGAAGGGCCATACCTGGTCGAAAAAGTCCATGCAGGAGGGGCATACTCCTTGAAGGACGCAGAAGGAAGATCACTAGCCAGGTCGTGGAATGTAGCTAATCTTAAAAAATATTATATGTGAGCTTTTTTCCTTTTCATAATCGAGCAAATTGGATTAAAGTAATTTCGAAGAAAATTTCCTTCAAATATTGTCAAAGTGATTGATTTCTGTGTTACTGGATTCCTTGCATATTTAGCATTAACTTCTTACAACGCGTCATTTATGAGTTCGGTTTGGCTCATTTAACGGCATGGTCGCAATTTACGTGGAAATGTTGAAATAGATTCGCCAATATTCTATATGGGTACATGGATTATAAATTCGATGCTTACGATACACGCCAATCACTTACGCAATTTCTTTGGAATGTCTTGTTTGATACATATGGAACCACGAATTCAATCCCTGCTCGACATCCCTCAAGGCGAGAAGAAAAAAGTCTTTTGTTTTCAGAACACCCCAACCAAGGGGTGGGCGAAGGTCGCTTGTTCTTGGAACATTCCAAGGGGTGGGCATGTGGTCGACAACGTCCATCCTTCCGGGCTGGACGACCACAATGTTTTCGGAACATCCCTTAGGGTGGGCAAGCGAGAAGACCAAAGTCTTTTGTTTTCGGAACACCCCGACCAAGGGGTGGGCAAAGGTCGCTTGTTTTCGGAACATTCCAAGGGGTGGGCATGTGGTCGACAACGTCCATGCATCCGGGCTGGACTACCACAATGTTTTCGGAACATCCCTTGGGGTGGGCAAGCGGGAAGACCAAAGTCCTTCGTTTTCGAAATACCCCGACCAAGGGATGAGCGAAGGTCGCTTGTTTTCGAAACATTCCAAGGCGTGGGCATGTGGTCGACAATGTCCATGCTTCCAGGATGGACGACCACAATGTTTTCGGAACATCCCTTGGGGTGGGCAAGCGAGAAGACCAAAGTCCTTCGTTTTTGGAACACCCCGACCAAGGGGTGGGCGAAGGTCGCTTGTTTTCGGAACATTCCAAGGGGTGGGCATGTGGTCGACAACGTCCATGCTTCCAGGCTGGACGACCACAATGTTTTCGGAACATCCCTTGGGGTGGGTAAACTAGAAGACCAAAATCCTTCGTTTTCGGAACACCCCGACCAAGGCGTGGGCGAAGGTCGCTTGTTTTCGGAACAATCCAAGGGGTGGGCATGTGGTCGACAACATCCATGCTTCCGGGCTGGACAACCACAATGTTTTCGGAACTTCCCTTGGGGTGGGCAAGTGAGAAGACCAAAGTCCTTCGTTTTTGGAACACCCCAACCAAGGGGTGGGCGAAGGTCGCTTGTTTTCGGAACATTCCAAGGGGTGGGCATGTGGTCGACAACGTCCATGCTTCCGGGATGGACGACCACAATGTTTTCGGAACATCCCTTAGGGTGGGCAAATGAGAAGACCAAAATCCTTAATTTTCAGAACACCCCGACCAAGGGGTGGGCGAAGGTCGCTTGTTTTCGGAACATTCCAAGGGGTGGGCATGTGGTCGACAACATCCATGCTTTCGAGCTGGACGACCATAATGTTTTCGGAACATCCTTTGGGGTGGGCAAGCGGGAAGACCAAAGTCCTTCGTTTTTGGAACACCCCGACCAAGGGGTGGGTGAAGGTCTCTTGTTTTCGGAACATTCCAAGGGGTGGGCATGTGGTCGACAACGTCCATGCTTCTGGGCTGGACGACCACAATGCTTTCGGAACATCCTTTGGTGTGGGCAAGCGAGAAGACCAAAGTCCTTTGTTTTCGGAATACCCCGACAAAGGGGTGGGCGAAGGACTTTGTTTTATGAGGAGCAGGAAAAGATCTTATAACAAATTCCATTATCCACTGGTTTAGTTTCAATTTGAGGAGGGAGTCGAGCACATTAGAGCAATACATAAAGAGTTGGATAATGAAGCAGTACACAGCGCAAAGAAAAGAAAGATAATATTTCATTCAACGCATTAAAAAATACACGGTCATAAGGAGTACAATGTTGAAGAATAGAGATGTATCAGCAAAATGAAGAGCGCACTCGTAAAATCAAAATATCATCATTTCAAAGGCGCAGGTTTCGAATGAGCAGTAAGGGTCGATTGGGCCGCAACAGTGGACGAGGCAACAGAAGCGATAGACTGAACCGCGAGAGTCGACGAGGAATGGGCAACCGTGGTCGACTGTGAATCCGGGACTGACGAGGCAAAAGCAGCGAAGCCCAACTGCACCGCTGAGGTCGATTGTGCAGCCAGAGTGGACACAAAGGCAGCAGTAGCAGTGGACGAACCAGCGGTTGTCGAGATAATGGAAGCCACAGTGGATTGAGCAAGGGCCGAAGTAGAAGGACCAGATAGAGACAAATGAGCGTTGGAGGTTGACGGCTGAGAGAGTGTGCTGCCTGGGAGACAGACCATAGGAGTTTCGCCAGCCCTCGGGAAATCAAATAATATTGTAGATTTTTATCCCGGACTAAAGCTCGCTCTAATGAGCCTGTCCACCAGGGGTGCTCAATAGGAAGGCTAGGGTCACCATTGAAAGTCGACGACACAGAAGGAATGGCATCCCATGTCTTCTCGTGTTCCAACTCACCCGAGAATCCTTGCTCCACTAGTTGCCTTTCCACCTCTTTCATACTATATGTATAGAAGTCCATCCCCATGCTCGAGGCTTCTTTGAGGAAGGCTGTCGACTGGAGATAGTCGTCGATCAGCTGCTCTCGGTAAGCCCTCAAGAAGCCTTGGCCCAGCTGAGACCCCACAGCGCCCGCTGGGACTGCTTTACTGCAGCAACGGTAGCAGTCTCAACCTCTTTCTTTTTGTTCGCCCTCTCTGCCTCGAGGGCTTTGTCTTTCCTCCTCAGCTCGTCTTTGAGGCGACGCATCTCCTCACTATCCTTCTTCACCTGCTCGGTCAGCTCGTGTTGGGACTTGAGCAAGTCTTGATTCTCGGCCTTGAGGCGCTGGTTCTCAGTCTCAAGTTGCTTGTTGTCACCCTCGACCACCGGAAGGGGACGATCATAGTTGTTTAAGGTTTCTTCGAGCAGGGGGGCGACTGAAACCACCGTCTACATGAACAACGCATATCAAAATATGTTGATATAGAAAAGTTATGGGTAGGAAATGATAGATGACCATACCTGAATCAAGGCGCGGGCAGCGTATTCGCCTTGGGCCTGACGGTTAGAAGCCCATCGATGGGTG